AAGTCCGCTAAAATTTGGGACTTGATGGTCGTACGGGGTTGATATTCGATATCGTACCTACTGAGTTCGATGACCCATTTGGCCAGTCGACCCGATAGTTCGGGCTTGTGCAAAATATTGCGAAGTGGGTAAGTGGTCAAAACGTATATGGGGTGACATTGAAAATATGGTTTTAACTTTCTAGAGTAGTGCAAGTGCTAATTTTTCTAAGTGAGGGTATCTAGCCTCTGATTCCCCTAAGGTCTGACTTACATAATAAACACTAAATTGTGTACCTTGCTCTTCTCGAATTAGGATGCCACTTACCGAGATTTTCGATACCGCCAAGTATAAGTACAGCTTCTCATCTGTCCTCGGAGTGTAAAGTAGTGGTGGGCTCGATAGGTACCGCTTCAATTGTTCTAGTGCCTGTTGGCATTCTGGGGTCCAGGCGAAATCGCTTTTCCTTTTGAGTAGGGAGAAGAATTTGTGACTTCGATCTGATGACCTCGAAATGAATCGGCCTAAGGCAGCTATCCGCCGGGTCAGCCTTTATACTACTTTCACGCTATCCACGATGGTGATGTCTTCGATGGCTTTAATTTTGTCGGGGTTGATCTCAATTCTCCGATTCGATACCGTAAAACCAAGGAACTTGCCCGATCCAACCCCGAAAGCACATTTCTCGGGGTTAAGCTTCATGTTGTATTCCCTTAAGATCTTGAACGTTTCCTGCAAATGAGTCAAATGGTCCTCTGCGCGCAGGGACTTAACTAGCATGTCATCAATGTAAACTTCCATTGACTTACCTATTTGTTCTTCTAATATTTTATTCACTAGGCGTTGGTAAGTAGCTCCTGCGTTTTTTAGCCCGAATGGAATTACATTATAGCAATAGGTTCCGTACTTGGTGATAAATGAAGTCTTTTCCTGGTCCTCCGGGTTCATTCGAATTTGATTGTACCCGAAGTAGGCATCGAGAAAAGTAAGGATCTCGTGGCCGGCTGTGGCATCAATCATGCGATCAATGTTAGGCAGTGGAAAAGAATCTTTGGGGCATGCTTGTTTAGATCTTTATAATCTATGCAAATTCTAAGTTTGTTCCCCTTTTTAGGGACTACAACTACGTTGTCTAGCCATTCAAGGTATTTTACCTCCCGAATTGATCCTATTTTGAGAAGTTTAATTACCTCATCCTTTACAAATGTGTGTTTTACCTCAGACTGAGGTCTTCTTTTTTGCTTCACCGGTTTGAACCTAGGGTCTAAGCTCAACTGGTGTGTTGTTATTGATGGTGGGATCCATGCCATATCTAAATGGGACCAAGCAAAATAGTCTATGTTATCAATAAGAAATTGAACGAGTTTTTCCTTGAGTTCGGGGGTCAATCCCGTTCCCAGGTATATCTTTTTCTCGGGAAGATATTTGATTAATATAACCTGCTCCAGTTCTTCGATCGTAGATTTGGTGGCGCCAGAATCGTCGGGGATTATGAAAGCTCGAGGTGTCAGAAACTCTTCCTCGTCATCCTCTATTTCCTGTTCCACTAGTTCGGTTGAGATTGGTGGCTGTGATTGCTATTTGGTTGCTCGTCTATCTTTAGTGCTCGATCTTTCCGAGACCGATAGCATTGGCATATGTGTTACCTCATCGACCGCAAATATTTCCTTCGCAGCATATTGCTCCCCGTATACTTTTTTCACGCCGTCCGACGTAGGAAATTTCATTACTTGGTGGAGGGTCGAAGGCACTGCCTTCATATTGTGGATCCAATGTCTTCCGAGTAGGGCATTGTACCTCATATCCCCTTCGATTACGTGGAATTTGGTATTTTGGATGGTTCCAGCTATATTCACTGGTAGAGTAATCTTCCCTTTAGTCGTTTCACTGGCCATATTGAAACCGTTCAAGACCCGAGCTGCGGGCATGACTTGATTCTGCAACCCAAGCTGCTCCACTACCCAAGATCGGATGATATTCGCAGAGCTACCAGGATCCACTAAAACACGCTTAACTTGAGCTTTATTTAATATGATAGAAATTACCAGAGCATCGTTGTGAGGTTGAGAGATGCCCTCGGCTTCTACAATTCCGAATGATAAAGTGCCCTCGGGTACATAACCTCGAGTTTGTTTTTCCCCTGTGGACGGTATCTTGCAGTACTTGAGCAAGGGGCCTTGCGGAGTATCAACTCCACCGATGACCATATGAATGATATGCAGAGGTTCCTCTTGTTTATCCTTTTTGCTGGTGTCCCTTTCTCTAAAGTGATTCCTGGCTCGGTCACTGAGGAACTCTCGAAGGTGGCCCTCATCGAATAGGCGGGCTACCTCCTCTCTTAATTGTCTGCAATCCTCGGTCCTGTGGACATGCGTGCCATGATACTTGCTTATCGAATTCAGGTTTCTTTGGGGAGGGTCAGTTTGCATGGGTCTGGGCCACCTAATATCTTTGATTCTTCCGATCGCCGATACAATACCCGATGCGTCGACGCTGAAATTGTACTCCGATAGCCGAGGTGCCTCTATAGGATCGCCATATTTCTCGAAGCCACTCTTGCTCATAAGCCCCCGAGAATTTTGGCCTCGATCACTCTTTTGATTGTTCCGAGCAGAATTGTGCGTTGAGCTATTGTTCATTCGATTTACGACGTATGGTTGATATTAGTCTCTATTCAACCTTCGTTATCTGTCGATATCCCTCTAGTTTTTAATAGTTTCCATGTTCTGGTGCATGGATCCGGAAGGAGCTCCCAACTGGTCGTCTTCGACCCTAATTTTTGACTGATATCGGTTGTGTACATCCGCCCAAGTCATTGTTGTATACTCGATCAAATTTTGCTTCAGCCGACGTGATGCTATTAAACTTTGAACTTTCAACCCTTGGGTGAAAGCTTGGACGGCCCAGTCGTGTGTGACCGGTAGCAACTCCATGCGTTCCATTTGAAATCAGGACACGAACTCCCTCAGCATTTCATTACCGCTTTGCTTTACTTTGAAGAGGTCCGATTTCCTTGTTGCAACCTTTATGGCACCAGCATGTGCCTTTACAAACGAATCCGCTAACATAGCGAAAGAATCGATAGAATTTGGGAGCAAATTATGATACCAAATCATCGCTCCCTTCGAGAGGGTCTCTCCTAATTTCTCCAATAACATGGATTCAATCTCGTTGTCTTCCAAATCGTTACTCTTGATGGCATACGTGTAAGAGGTGACGTGTTCGTTGGGATCAGTCGTACCACTATATTTGGGAATTTCTGGCATACAGAATTTTTTGGTGATTGGTTTTGGGGTTGCACTCGAGGGAAAAGGCTTTTGGATGAATTTCTTCGAATCCAGCCCTTTTATCATTGGTGGAGCTCCCGAGATCTGATCGACCCTGGAATTATACGTTTTTACTTTTTATCGTTGGTTTCGACTCGTTTTGTGAGTTCCTCGAGTAATTTGGTAATTTCGGGAGTAGTCCCCGATTCTTGCTCGTTTGACTTCACTATGACTGGCTCCGTTCTATGGGTGATTTTCCGAAGCGGATCGGGCTCCGGCGTGCTTTGTACCTGAGTTTGGCTCCGTAACTAAGCTATCGCTATTTGCTGGGCTTGTAACATTTTGAAGATCATCCATAAGCTGACTTCGATCTCCTCCACGTTATGGGCATCTGGAGCTACGGATCGAGTACCGCCTTGAATGCTCTTTTCCGGTTCAGAACGTTGATTCGCCTCAAGAGCCACTTGTGAATTGACATCTAGTGGTACTCCGACTCGGATTTTAGGTACTTCAACTCGAGCTTCAGTGACATCGTTAAGTGGCCTTCCGGCCCTGGGTATCAAGTTGTTGGTTTCATCCTGAATGTCGGCTTCGTGGTCGATAGGTAAAGCCATGAATCGAGGGTTTGCCATTACTGATTCAGAGTTGTAAACTGGTGCGTATTGTGGATTTGTATCAAATAACCACTGTTATCCTTAGACCACGGTGAGCGCCAAACTGTTTACCCGAAAAATAAGATATAGTTGAATTTATAAGTAGTTCTAAGGATATGTGATATAGCCTGACATAAATCGTTCGTAGAAGTGGAAATGTTTGGATTCTTGGTTATATAAATGAGATATAAATTATTGAACTAGAAGAATGAGTATGCTGAGTAAAACAAGCTTAAGAGATTTATTCTTCAATAAATAATAGTAGTCTTTTCTTACAATGTGTCCGCCTCTTGTGCTTACAAAGATTCCCCTTTATAGTAGATGGATCTTACTTTATTTATAATAAAAAATATATAGTGGAGAACCCACGATGAATTGTCTCTTTCTCGAATCTAGTCAAGATTCTCTCCCTTAGTACGGTTGCAACGGCTCCTGTCTGCGAGCTCGATATGGGCTCGAGCTCTGTATTGGATCGAGCCCTCGGCCTTGAGTTCGAGTTCGACATTCGGGGTGGGTGTCAATCGGTTTGTGCATCTCCGACAACCTTCTCTTTACCCTGCGGTTCGATTTGGTCATGGGCTTGATAATGATACCGAGCCGATTCCTCGATCGGTCTTGGAGCTCGAGGCTTGTATGTACTATCCTCGGAACTCGTCTCGAGCTCTCACTTCGATCTCTTACCATTCGAAAACGTACGGATACCGAAATCTATTTCAACCATATAAAGTGCGTCTAACCTACAAATTACGTGCATTGCGTATAAATGGTCGTGATTATTATGATTATATATTTTTATGAAAACCAAACACCACAATAGAATACAAGAAGTAAGTTATATAAGATTAGTGTAAAAGTAATATAAGTAATAAAAACATTAAGTTAATAATAAAAACATTAAGTTATATACACTGCAATATAGAATAACAATAATAAATAATTTAAGTTATATGCATGATATTTTAAATATTTTTACGATAATAATTAATTTTAACTTGTGATAGCTGATTAATTATTATTTTATATCAAAAATGATGATTATAAAATTAGTCATAAGTAGTACTTAAAATAAGTAAAGCAATCCAAACATGGCTTTAAATTAGAAGTCCACTCGCACAACTTTGAAGCAACGTTTACTTTTCCTCGACGAAAAAAAAGGAACTCAAAATGCTTGCGCATTGCACAAAGTCCACCTTCCCATCGGCGGAAGCTTACCTAACAACTCTGCGGTTCCCAAATCCACGGCGGAGACCGGCGGCGGAACTTCATTTTAGTGCGCTCAACAATTTTCCTACTAGGGTATCGAAACTGCAAGTTAAGGCTTTGGACCGTAACAACAACAACAACAGCGCCGGGGACGGCGGCTCTAGTAAGAACGCCGTTTCATCGTCTTCGAATACGAACTACGTGGTGCCGTTAGATAAGTCTTCATCCTCTTGCATTACTCGTCCTTTAGCTGAGATCTTACGTGACCTCAACAAGAGAATTCCTGATAACATCATTAAAGCTGATGATGGTGATGATCATTCCACCTTCATCCCCTGGTAGTAATTTCATTTCTCTCTCTTTTTATGTGTAGCTTTTTGGTTTTTGATTTTTGATTGCTGATTTTTGCAAACACATTTTTAGATTTGTTTTTGGTTTAAGAAATTGTGATTTACATGATTTTTATATGGTAGTTTCTAAATGAGTTTTTATGTACACCATAAGGAATTTTTACACCATTTCACTTTTACCTGTTGTAGCAGGCTTTCTATCCGATTTTAAAGATTACAAATTCCATATCTCAAGGAAGCTTACTCGTAGATATCTTTTGGTGACCTAACAGTGTAAAAATTACTTTACATAGATGGTGTATATAACTTACACTTTCCAAATATGTACTCCTTCCATCACAATTTATGTGTGATTGTTTGATTAAGCACGGAGTTTAAGAACCATACTTTTGAAACTTTGTGGTTTTAAACAAGCCATAGACATTTGTTTGTCTATAAATCGATGTTATTAGGGGCAAAATTGAAAGCTCAAATTTATATTGTTTCTAAATATAGAAAGGTGTCATTATACTAATTGAAAATGAAAGTGTGACACATAAATTGGGACTGAGCAATTATCTAAAAATTAAGAATTCACACGAATCGTATCAGTCTTTTCTGAATGGAGGAAAGGAGTATTTAGTTTAAGCCTGTGTTAGTGATAAGTCAGCTGCCATGATTTCTTTTCTTGACCAGATAATGATGAAATTGTTATTCTTTAGGTACCACGCGAACCGGATGTTGAGCTTCTATGCTCCAGGTGCGGTAGCATTTTTGTTTAATTCTTCTATTATTTTATTGTTGTTGTTGTTATTTTTGTTGTTGTATGGAGTATAATTTATGGTTGTCTTATTAGTTGTATCATCAGTGAAATAGGATGGAGAAAGTGTGTAACTTGGTCATGCAGATGACATTTGCAATATTTTTTTTTGACAACCAAGAAATCCCCTAGGGTTAGTGGCGCACGGTTGGAAAGTCGGTGGATAATGTGCTGCCCCTCTACCCTTCTTCACTTAAAACCAAGCTTTTGTCCGTGGCATGTTTCCAACCCGTGATGTGCGTCTAACCCACACATTACAAGCTAAGCTCTTACCACCACACAAAAGCCTTGGGAGCGAGATTTGCAATATTTTTCTTTTGCCAATATTAATGGAAAAGTTTTGACATGAAATTTGGTGGAAAGGCTCTAATTATTTTGTGTGTCTGTGGTTTGCAAATAAATGCCGAGGGTCTATTGGAAACAACCTCTCTATCTTGACCAGGTAGGGGTAAGATCTGCCTACACACTACCCTCCCCAGACCCCACTTGTGGGAATATACTGGGTATGTTGTTGTTTGTAGTTTGCAAATAAATAGATTCTGTAATAAAGGAATTGAGATATTCTGAAGATGGTGGTTAAGGACCAGAAGTATCAATTCTTTGAGCATGGAACAGAGAAGTGGATTTAGTAGAGTACTACAGTAGAGAAAGGGTTTCTGTCATGTCTAAGATGCTTACCTGTTGCATTTGTTCATGTTGACTCCTCTCCTGGATTGACAGCATCTTAAAACTTGAATTGGAACATTTGTAGAAATTGCACTTCTCAACCTTAGAGACCTCTTCTTTTCTTTTCTTATTCTCTTTTTGTTGAAAGATGGCCTTCAGAAATTTCATTTACTTAAATTCTTCCACACGGCTACTTGTTTTTCTATATCTCCATAAGAAGATAATAAAACAAATAAAATAAGACTAATTCATTGTGCATCTTCATACCTGCAACAGGAGTAGCTTCCAAAGCTTTGACATTTTTCACAACCCAACTCAATGAGCTTCCTAGTATTCTGTTTCATGGTTCCTTCTCCAGTTCTGTATTCCTTTCCCACAGCATGACTGCTACCTTCAGTTTTGCCAAACCTTTGGCGAATTTAGGATCAGGGGCTTAGATGTTATCGCTCTTGAACTTATTCCTTCAATCTATGATAGTAACTTCCTCTGAAAAGCTTGTTTTGTCAAGGTTTGTTATTAACTGTTGATTGTATGCTGTAGAATGTCTTTTTCTGGAGTTGAAGCTAAAACTACTGGTTTTAATTAACAAAAAGTCACAAAGATCATATTGTTATGTCTTGGTTCGCACTTCTGATTACTCTCCAAATCCTCTTGCTTTTTAAATAGTTTAAGTTTCTGCAGATTTTCTTCAGTCAAAACAACTTTTGGCTAAACTGAACATATCCTGTATCTTGCAATCTTTAGTGCTTTTCAAAATTATGATACAGTAGTGTGGCTATCTTCATTTCATTTTAAACTCTAATATTGAGATCAAACTTCTTATCTCTCTGGGCACATGAGCTTGGACTAGATATAAAATTGTAGCTCTAATCTCCACACACCCCTCCCTCCCCTCTTAAAAAAGAAGAAGATAGAGAACATTTATTTGATGCAAAATACAAAGCCGAGAAGGTTCTGAGAGTATTACTGGTTGGAAGGGCATCCAAATTCGCAGCTAAACTAGCATCTAGATAAACTTCACCCTTAGACGTTATTTTAATCTTCTAGATGAATTGGGAAATATGGGATATTCGATTGGACAACAAGCAATCTTGAAATTCTTATCTACCAATATTTCATTAGAAACACCTAGAGTTGCACCCAAGGGCTAAGGGTATGGCGTAGTAGTCAATAAAGTGGGAGGAGAACTATAAAGTCTCGTGTTCTAATTCCAGTGGAGTCCCGTCTGCATCAGCCTTGGTGGGCGAGTTACCCGATATTTGTGCTGGTGGAAAGTAGCAAGTACCAGGTGGAATAGTCAGGTTGCATGCAAGCTAGCTCTTGTAACTACTATGACACATATTACCTTTTTCTTATAACATATATTCGGCAGATTTCAGCAGAATGGTTTATTTGTTTTGTAGCTAGCTTTATATTCCGTGAATTGTACTGGAAAATGCGAAAAAAAATATGTAGAATTGACCTCAATGTGGCATATCTGGCAACTGGTGTATACACTGAAAAATTGATTTTGATATTAATATGTGTGACAGTTAGATTTCTTTTAACAGGCTGGTGTGGAGAAGTGAGAGATGTTATTTTCTCAGATAATGGAAGTGTAACAGTTGTTTATCGTGTCACTATACGAGGATCAGATGGAGAGGTATGATAATTCTTCCAAACAAGTGCTCTTCTTTTTTTCCTTTTCCCATTTTCCATTTTTTTCCAACTTTACCATCTCTGGATATGCTGCTATACACTTGAGTATCACCAGCTAAGAGGCTTGATCAATGAATTGATTACAAGTCTCACAAATCATATAAAGGAAATAGTTGTGTAGCCAATACGGCCTTGCTTACTTCTGTTGCTCCTACCTGAAATGTCCATTCTTTATCTTTCCTTTATTGCAATTCATTTTGATTGCCAATTGATGGAGTGGTATAGTAATTGAGAACAAGATATGTAAAACTTATGTCCCGCTCAAACTAAAACCTAAAGTACAAAATCATTCCCATTAGGATTTGTAAAACTAGTAAGTGGAGTAATATAATTAAACAACGGGAGTTGAGATGTATTAGGTCAAAGCTAAATAAAAAGAAAAGTATTACGCTATTAACAACCTCGAAAGGTCTTTTGATAGACTAAAGGGGGGATGGACTTCACCTACATTTTATAGTCAATATATCTATCAATACTAGTTTGAAGTAGTAACTTCCATGAGATAGAATCTTAATGTCCTTTCAGGTAGAATTGAGTCAGTTGACTGCCTTGAATAGAATTTTTTAACGTAAATTTTGATTAGTCTTCAAGTTGCATATGTATCTGTGGAATTCGTGTCAGTTAATCCTCTCTTGGTTGAGATTTTAACTGACCACGCGAATATCCTAAGGCCCCTTTTGATTGGCTAATTCTATTTATGGGAGGCCTTATACTTTATAGTTAGCTTCAGTGTTGGGGTCACATTCAAGAACCAATTTATTCAGAAATTTATAGATAGCTTCTTTTTTCGAAACTTCACTTTGCTAAACACATAAAAAGCATTACAGTCAATAAGGCACACTCTTCTTGAAAAATAAATGTTCAAAACTTATCAAAACAAAAATTTAAGTCGTAAGTATTGAGTCCATTTATCCCTAACATAAAAAGATTCTTCCACACTAGCATTTAACAAACTAAAGAGAAATTAAAAAGATGTCTCCATACTAAATACAAGAAGAGAACTAGAAGGAAGAATTCGAGTTCTACTTTTTTAACTCAGCTATTCTTCTCTTGGCCATCTTCTCCTTCTCTTGGTTTTGTTCCTCAAGATTTTCTCTCTTTTCTTTGAAGGTTTCAGCGGCCTTCCGCGATTCATTGATTTGCTAACCCTTTAGTGCTCTATTTATTGCGTAAAGAATTGAGATCCTTCCAAAATTATAGACCTTTACCGGGCAGACGTAGGTTTCCAGCGCCGTGATGCTGTCTCTTCCAAACTACCTTACCACCTTCTTCGTTTGGTGTGGCAGTGCCCACTCTCTGCCACGTCTGCTCTGAATTCAGCTTGTTGCCTTACCACCTTCATCGTTATTTCTTTGTCTGAAAAATATATATAAGACGAAACTCTTTGTTATGGTAATTGGTTATCAAGTTGTACACAAACAATTGATCTTGCTAAACTTTTGGAAAAATGTGCAACCTTGGTCTAGGTTCGTGTGCTCTCCAATTTTCATTTGTATGCTTTTCAATTTAGCACCTAAAGCTTCAAGTTTTAATAAACATTTATGCTGTTGAATTCGTCTTACAGTAGTCGCATTGGTTTCTCCTTTTTTTCATTACTTTTTATACTAATGTGATAAATTATTGTAGGCACACCGCGAATCAACTGGGACAGTATCACCAGGCAATGGTCCTAGCACAGATCTGGTTGCTGCTGCTGAGGAGATGGCATTTTGCAGAGCATGTGCTCGTTTTGGGCTTGGCTTATATCTGTATCATTAAAATAGTCGAGTAGATGCTACAAACTGGACAATTTTGAAAATGCTATTGAAGGTCCTTGTACACAGAACAAGAATCATGTAATATCTATTCCGCGGATGATGTAAAAATATTATTCATGAGGATGGTTATATGCACTGTGAAAGTATGAAAATATGGTCATGGACAATGAGGCATCAAAAAATATTTAAAAAAATAGTAAATATACAAAAGAGATATCAGATACCATCTGCTGCTTTATGTTTAACGTATTCTCTCCTGTTGTTCAACAGGATTGTATTGTGTATATTTGTTAGATTGTAAGGCCTCAGTAAATGGTACTACAACATATTATTTCTTCAGCATAACAATGTTATAGAACTTATGATGAGGCAATAATGTGAAAGGAGTGGTTTAAGGTTTATAAGATCACTAATTGTTTCGAGGGGAAGGATCTGAATTCTATCTAATAGTGGTTCCTGATTAAGGTAGCAGAGATGAGGATGTTGGCCAGTCAAGATCGCTCATGTACAGAAGATGAAGATAGCGAATATGAGGATGTTGAGATGGATGTGCGGTCACACCATGTTAGATAGGATCAGAAATGAGGTTATTCGCGACAAGGTGGGTGTGGCCCCTATTGAGGATAAGATGCAGGAAGCACGACTTAGGTGGTTTGGTCATGTGAGGAGGAGGAGCACAGACGCCCCAGTGAGGAAGTGTGAGATGTGGATATTGGAGGGCCTACGGAGAGGTAGAGGTAGGCCAAAGAAGAAGTGGTGAGAGGTGATTAAGCAAGACATGGCGCAACTTCAGCTGACCGGGGACATGACCCTTGATAGGAATGTATGAAGGTCGAGGATTAGGGTAGTAGAGTAGGTACTCTAGAGTGTTCATAACAGTAGTATTGGTACGCAATCTTGCTTTTTGTTGGTAGTAGGTTTTTATGACTAACCGTTGTTTCTTTCATTGTTGATCACATTACTGTCTTGTTGTTTTTATTCTGTTTTTATATTGCTTTTTGGTACTGTCCCTCCTTGTCTATATTTTCATTAATGTGGTGCTTATGCTTTCTTGAGTCGAGGGTCTATTGGAATTTGGAAACAACCTCTCTATCCTCACAAGGTAGGGATAAGGTCTGCGTACACACTACCCTCCCGTTCCTGATTAATTAAACCTATGTTTCCATCACTAGATTGTTATAATCATCATATCACAATCTTGAATACCACACCACAATGTTTTACAATAGTTATTTTATTCTACTTTATTACTTCTACGTTGGAAACCAAAGCACACTTGTTAGAATTAGAAGAAAAAAGGAAATGATGTGAAATATGCCAAACAAAGTGAAACATTGACAACATACACTTCCCCAAAATAGCTGGCTACATGGAATTTAGGACAAAAATTTAATCGGGCGTCTCTTCTTTAAGCCACTTTTTTTTTTATTTTGTACCTTTCTTAAGTTTGTTAATAATCTCTATTCGAAAATATATCCAAAAACCAGTAGCAACGTAAAAATAGAAATGTAGAAGAAATAGAAAATTAATTCGAGCTCACTGAATTCACAATGTTTTCTTAAGAAAATTAATCCTCTCCTAGTACCCGAGGTTTATGACTATTTCCTCCCAGGATAAAAAAGATTACCCTCACTAGTGTAGCGATACTTCAAAACTCAGTGACCAACGAACTCAAAGATCAGTGGCAAATCATAGTTACTGCTTTCTTTTTATTAAAAAAAATGCAGAAGGAAGAAGGAGAATTCAGAATTTTCGTAAGAAAAATCTGCGGGAAAAATCATGTATTTATAGCCAAAAATTTGGGTAATACCGAAGATTTGCAACTCTTCATGTAAAGGTTGCAACTCAAAATTTAAATTCTGACGGGAAATTCAAAACAGATGAAAAACATTTTACCGTTGACCAAATCCAAAGCCGATCCGAGCGAGCGACGACGACGGCGCGAGGCTTGCCTTCTTCTCAACTCTTTAAAGGTTAGAAGAAGTGCAATTTTATGTATACCCATCAAAACTCTTTTTCTCCTTCAATATGGGACAATGTCCCTTTGTCAAAGAGAGAAATTAAAAAAAAAAATATTTTCCCCTCCATTCTCATTCGCTCTATTTTAAGCTCTCACAAGATTAAAACCAACAATCCCCCACATGAATGGGGAATGGCTATATCACGAAAATATGCATGAAAAACTGTATGATTTACAAACAAGGATTAATCACATCTGGTTAAGTAGGTTTTTCTTTGAACTTTCCGTAGTGAACTTATGTCGGATATACTCAGTCAATCGGTAGATTTGATATCTTAGAACCGTCGAACTTTGGTGTATACCTAGACAACCATAAGTCACACAATTAACCCGTAACCATCTTTGGTTCTCATTGTTGTGTTCGTTTCAGCCATGAACACCACCCTATTTCATAAGTGTGTAAAGAACTAGCCTTGCAAAATTCTCCTTGAAGCGGCTAACAATCCACACTTACATAGGTGACTCCTAAACCTGTCATCTCGTAGATACACTATTTGATATACCTCGTATCAAATTTAGAAACCATTAAAAAGCCTTAATGTTTTATCCTTGATACTGAACATTGTCTCATCACGAGAATGGACCAAAATTTTAGTTGACAATATTGAACCGTCATTAATGACTTTGTTTGATATCCTTGAACCTAGATCTTGGGATCTCCAGTCTTCTAGGTAGAATTGTTGCCACAATGACTTGTCTACGGCCATAGTCCCATTCCCCTCGATGATTTTTCAACTACCTCTCTAGTTAGGCCTTTTTAAGAGGATCCGACACATTATCACTTGACTTTACGTAATCAATTGTAATAATCCCTCTAGAGAGTAGTTGCCTGACGGTTTTATGTCTTCGTCGTATATGACGAGATTTACCGTTATACATAATACTCCTAGCCCTTTCAATTGCCGTTTGACTAATGTATGCATATTGGTGCCAACGGTTTGGGCCAAAATAGAATTTTTTCCAAAATATTTTGGAGTCATTCAGCTTCTTCACCGGCTTTATCGGTTATGAACTCGGCCTCCATTGTAGAGCGGGCAAGACAAGTTTGTTTGGACGACTTTCAAGATATCGCTCCTCCACCAATAGTGAATACATATCCACTTGTGGATTTAGAATCAGTTGAACCAGTGATCCAATTTGTATCACAGTATCCCTCAATCACTGCAGGATAATTATTGTAGTGCAAAGCAAAGTCTTGGATATGTTTTAAATATCCCAAAACTCATTTCATCACCATCAAATGAGATTAACATGGATTACTCATGTATCAACTCAATTTACTTATAGCACAAGCTATATCTGGTCGAGTACAATTCATGATATACATTAAATATCCCAACACACGAGCATAATCCAATCGTGATATGCTTTGGCCTTTGTTCTTTACGAGTGCCAGATTCACGTCAATTGAAGTCTTTGCAACTTTAAACTCTAAGTGCATAAATTTTTCAAGTACTTTTTTAATGTAATGAGATTGCGATAATGCCAGACCTTGAGGAGTCTAATGGATCTCAATACCCATAATTAAATCGGTAACTACCAAGTCTTTTATATCAAACTTTTTAGTTAGCATACACTTAGTCGTATTTATATTGGCAATGTCATTACTCATAATCAACATATCATCCATATATACGCAAACAATGTTTATGTGATTTGAAATATTTTTAATGTACACACATTTATCACATTCTTTTATCTTAAAACTATTTTACAATATTATTTGGTCAAATTTCGCATGCCATTGTTTGGGTGCTTGTTTTAGTCCGTAAAACAACTTAACAAGTCTACATACCTTCTTTTCTTTACGTAGAACCATAAACCCTTCAGGTTTTTCCATATAAATTTTTTCTTTCAAATTTTCATTTAAGAAGGCCGTTCTAACGTCCATTTGATGAATTTCAAGACCATATACCGCAGCTCGGCCATACTAGGCTGTATATCTCGGCCATGCTGGGCTTGCTCATAGGCGCTAGGCCGCAGTAGGCTCAATATATAACTTACCATATGATCAGAGGTTGCCCAATAAGGGCTNAGTCAAGACCTTCTCATTGTCTATACCCTTTGACCACAAGTCTTGCCTTATATTTGTCAATAGTACCACCATCTTCCATTTTTCTCTTAAAAATTAATTTAGAACCCAACGGTTTATTGCGTGGAGGAAGATCAACCAATTCCCATGTATGGTTGTTTAATATGGATTCTATTTCACTATTGACTGCCTCTTTCCAAAATAATGATTCGGAAGACGAAATAGCTTCTTTAAATGTTTGAGGCTCATTTTCTAATAAGAAAGTCACAAAATCTAGTCCAAATGAAGTAGATGTTCTTTGACGTTTACTACGTCTTGGATCCTCCTGATTATACGTACTTTGTTTTGTTTCATCCCGAGGTCGTTTAGATCATTCACCAATCGACTCACATTCCTTTTTATACGAATATATATTTTCGAAGAATTTAACATTATCTTATTCTATAACCGTATTATTATAAATGTCGGAATTTTCTGATTTATGAACCAGAAATTGATATGCTTTACATAGGTTGCATATCTTATGAAAATACAATTAACAGTTTTTGGTCCTATCTTTACCCTTTTGGGTTTAGGAACTTGCACTTTTGCCAAACACCCCCACACTTTAAAATAATTCAAGTTGGGCTCCCTTCCTTTCCATTTTTCATATGAAATGGACTGCGTTTTGTTGTGGGGTACTCGGTTTAGTATCCAATTAGCCGTAAGAAAGGCTTCCTCCCACAAGTTTTGTAGCAAACCAGAACTTATCAACAAAGCATTCATCATCCCTTTACTGATCGATTCTTTCTTTCCGCAATCCCATTGGATTGGGGCGTGTAAGGGGCCGTTGTTTGATGAATAATTCTATATTCCAAACATATTTCTTCAAAAGGAGGTTGGTATTCAACACCCCTATCACTTCTTATCATTTTAATTTTCTTATTAACTTACGTTTCAACTTCATTTTTGTATTGCTTGAATGTATCTATTGCTTCATCTTTACTATTGAGTAAGTAAACATCTCAATATTGAGTACTGTCGTCAATAAAAGCTGTGAAATACTTTTTCACTGCGAGATGGTATTGATTTCATGTTGCAAATATCTGTGTGAATTAAGTCT